AGACTGGAGGTACCTGACCACTGTCAGTAGGACGCCCAATGCGATCTGAGACGTCCCCCATTGCCCTGCCAGACATGCCAAAAAAACTGTAAAGATAGAACACTTTGAAGTATATTACATATACGACAATCCAAGTTTAATAAATTTTATTGAGCAAGTAGAAAATTAAAAATTCATTTAAGGCCTATTACTCATATTCTACCTTTCTTCAAGTATCAATGGATTAGGCCTATATCCACGGAAGTAATATTCTGATCAATTATACAAAAAATAAATTCCTGTTGGTAGGATGCAATTTCATTCTATTATTTAAAAGAACTAAATAAATAACCCAAAAGACATTTAATAATCAGAGATACGAGAGTCTTTATTAATTATTAGATACATCCAAACTTGCAGAACTTCTTAAATCCCACTTCACAAAATGAAAGAAATGTAAATAGGAAAGCAACATGTTCTTTAGGTTTTTTTATAGTTTAAACAAACGGACTCACATGAAAAGAAGATAATGAAAAAAACATGAAACTAATTTACAAAAACTAGAATAAATACAATCACATTAAAGGAAGAATAAAGGGGGGAGGGTGGGGAAAAACAACTATAGAAGTACTTGAACCTTGTAATAAGCTCCGAACTCTCAGTATCCCATTGAAGAACACAGAACTTGTACCGCTCAGTTGCTATGAAAAGAAAATCTTGTGCTTCCCCCTATTTAATACATGGGAAAGAAAGTCACAAAAAAAAAGAAGGAAATGTACATTGAATATTGGTAATCAGGGCTTGGAAAAGATATAGCTCACGTGTGGGCGAAAAAGTTCCAGTGTTGCAATCCTCCCGTATATTGGAACATCCAACATAGGCTGCAGAGAAGATGCAGCTAGTGAGGAATGGACCATATGACCAAACCAAGGTACACAACTTCAAAATAGTATTCATTCAGAGTTTTCAATCCTTGCACTTGTGGTGAATAACTCAGAAAATTGATAAATCATTTCTTTCTTTCATATGACCCTTCTATTTGTCACATGAAGTATGAAATTTTTTATACAATATCGAAAACTTCGTACCATTACTAACCAAATGAAGTAGGTGCCAGTTTCATGGTTCAAAATGGGCAATGACCATTGATAACTTGACGTAGATATGAACTTATATGGACTATATCGTTTCATATCAATTGACATAACTTATTTCAACTTCAAACTAAGATAAATGAGCATATCATAAAATAAAAATTTTAGGAATAAAAAATTCAAAGCCAAAAGGAGAAAAAGAAAAACTGAAACTCTTGAAATTGAAAAATCTTCAGTTCCCTATAATTGAATCGTTAAAGAAGAATCAAGAGCAAGAGAAAGAAGGGCGATACCTGCAGGCCTTGAGCAGTAAGCAAATGAATTTCTATGCGGGTACATTTCCTGAGACCAAAATTTAGGTGTGAATAAATTAAACCGCATCGCATTGCATTCTTAAAGTATGTCACAACGACAATAAGAAAGCTTATACGACAATGAAATGAAATAACATGAACCCCGGCCAATCTGAAGCATCTATGGTAGTTGTTTCATTCTGAACATAGAATTATTAAACCAAAGAAACCCAAACACACAAAAAGTCTATCGTGTACATACCAAAAATAAACAAGGAAACCATAGACCGGGCCAAATGGAGAAGGAATTCATTGTACAAAATGACGAACAAACGAGTATTAGCGGAAATTAAGAAGCCTAGAGATTAAGAAACTGAATTTCTAAACTTGTTGGGCCCAATTTGAGAAGCATAAACCCTAGCTCGTCGGAAAAAAAAAACATATTTCGGACTAGCTTGGTTTATTACCAATTTCCATATGATCTGACATAAACCCTAGCTCCTATTTCGACTATCCGCACAAAAAAAAAAAAAAAAAAAAAAAAAAAAAAAAA